TATTCAATCAATCAGAGGAGACCATCTCGAATGGCTTCCACACCTTTATTACTCACATTTCATAAAATTACATAAACCAAATATATATATATATATATATGTATATGGAGAGAGAGAGATGCGATCGACTTCGAGAGGCGATGGTGGATCGACAGAGGGCTTCTTCACTCAGATCTGTTCAAATCGGTTTCACTTCTTCAGATCTGTTCTAAGTCTTCGTGAGTCCGTGAGTGAGTGAGTGAGGGAGATGCGATCAACTTCGAGAGGCGGTGGTGGAATGGCAGAGGCGGTGGTGGAGCAACGGTTGAGAGAGAGAGGGAGAGGGAGAGGAGCTGCGATCGACTGAGAGAGAGAGAGAGAGATAGAGTGATCCAGATCTGTGACTGTGAGATAGAGTCTAGAGAGTGATGTAATTCTATGAGATAAGGGGTATATTATATATATATATATGAATGGATAGAGGGGCATAAAGGTAATTTGACTTTGGGGAGGAAACGGAGCGGGGCCGAGGCGGCTCCGGCGCTGTAAAAGCTATCCCCGTCCCCGGCCCGAAACTGATCGGGGATGCATTTTTTAATACCATCCCCGGCCAGTGGGGAGTATTTTTCAGGGAAAAACCATTGTAATCAGGGACGGGGGGTCGGGTCCCCGTCAAGCCGGGTTTAAATTGCCATCCCTAGTCAATTGTACAAAATCAAACTTGGAATGTTAAAAACATAACATGAACATGACGTGCATGATATGAACAAGATTCCAAGTCTCCAAATTATGATCAAATGAGATGTTCTACTAAAAAACTTGGTGAATTCTTAAACTAAAATCAAAATATGAACATGCATAGGACAAATTCGTAGACAACATGTTCTAAATGCAATGTAATGCACATACATGTATGTATACCCTTATCTTCAACTTCATTAGGCTTAATTCTTGCATCAATTTACTTAATTCTTTTGAATACATGTGTTGGGTACCCCAATTACACAACTAACGGCTTGATTTCTTACCTTAGGTGCTCAATTATGGCTTATGTGTAGATATTTTGAACTCACAAGTCAATTCCTCAATTTCTCCTCTAAGTCTCTCCAATCCCCAAACTTAGATATGATTTTCTCGGTCTCATCCTCTCTCTCATGTTTTATGTTCAAAATGGATCAAATGGAGTGTATATGAAGAGCTTCTTGAGTTAATTAGGCCTTCTATAGGCTCATTAAGGAAGCTTAATCAAAATTGGTTTAAGACTAATCAAGTAACATTATTTTATTCTAATTACTTTGTTCCAAATCGAATTTTAATTGAACCTACCATAAATTCTCAAAAATTTCAAATAACACATAAACTAAGTCAATTTCGTAATCAGATGCCGATAAGGCCTTCAATTCGCATAACGAAACAGAAACACGGACAGATATTTCTACGACAAGCAGATAGAAACTGAAATATCATATAACAAATGCAATTAACTCAAGATTTCATCTTAATTACTTAGTGCTCTTTTGGGAAGCTGGTAAAAATCCAGCTTTCAGCTTTTAGCTTTTTACCAATTTTGGGTCACATTACCTCTCACATAACTTATCCAAAAAAAGACAAAAATAAGTTAAAAAAGCTAAAAAGTCAACTTTTTACTAATTTCTCAAAACACCCTTTATTAAGCATACTTAATGATGGATTATAAGTTAATCATAGGTTGGAGTTGTTACACTATAAGAGACAACCTATCTACCTTTGAGCTTGGTAAAAAAATGAAAAATTAAAAAAAAAAAATGTGAGGCTTAATTCTGACTGTTAAATTAAGTATGCGGGCTAACCCGATGAAGAGGCTGCTCAATAGGAATGGCAACGGGGCGGGGCAGGGCGGGGCAGGGATCACCCTCCCCGTCCCCGATTCCCGAAGGCACAAAAGTCCCCGTCCCCGTCCCCGATCCCCGGCGGGGAACCAATCACACTCCCCACCCCCGCCCCCGCCCTCGCCCCCTAATGGGGATCGGGGATCCCCGACCCCGAAAAATCCCGTACAAAAACAGCGTCCATAACAAACAACAACCACCCCAACAAATCAACAACCACAACATTACAACAGATAAACCAAAAAAAAAAATGATGAACAAACAACAACCCAACACAACAACAGATGTATATATATAACTTTTAAAAAAAAAATATTCATCAACAAGAGAGAGAGAGAGAGAGGGCTTCTGCAGCTTCAGCTTCAAAAAAAAATTTTCATCAACGAGAGAGAGAGATCGGTAGCTTCAGATCGAACCGCGATCCAGATCGATAACTTCTGATCGAACCACGGTCTGTCCAAATCGAACCAACCACGATCCTGGTCCTGTGTACGGATGAAAGATGGTGAAGAAGAAATGATCGAACCACGATCGAAGTGAAAAAAAGCTTCAGATCGAACCACGATCTCGTGAGTGAGGGAGAGAGAGACACTGGTCCTGTGTACGGATGAAAGATGGTGAAGAAGAAATGATCGAACCACGATCTAAGTGAAAAAAAGCTTCAGATTGAACCACGATCCCGTGAGTAAGGGAGAGAGAGACGAAAGACATGGTCAAACAAAGAGGGAGAAATGATCGATGACGATGTGATCCGTAGAGGAGGGGGAGAGAGGAGGGGAGTGGTGAGAGTATTGGTGGAGGAGGAGGTGGCGGTGAGAGATGGTGAAGAAGAGAGAGAGACCAGAGACGGTAGAGAGGAAGAGAGATGTGAGGAATGGAGAGAGAGAGAGAGAGTAGATCTACATGAATGAGAGAGAAAGTGAGTAGATGTAAATGAATAAAAGGTAGAGATGAGAATGAAAAAAAGTATATATATAATATATATATCATTCGGGGGACAAACGGGGCGGGGCTCGGGGGCGGGGCGGGCCGGGACTGAAACATGTATCCCCGTCCCCGGCCCGAATATCATCGGGGATTTTTTTTATCACTATCCCCGGCCCGTCGGGGGTATTTTTCGGGGAATAACCGTTATATTCGGGATCGGGTCGAGGGTATTTTTCGGGAAATAACCGTTATATTCGGGATCGGGAGGTCGGGTCCCCATCGGACCGGTTTCAGATTGCCATCCCTACTGCCCAACTTGCCCTTCAATCCTTGGGTAAGGTTTGGGCATAAGGTTTTGGATCACAAACAAATTCGAACTGTTAAAAAAAATTTACTAAGCTTGGTCATTTATGCATTATTTTCACAATTGAATATGGTTTAATGACGATCTTTTATATAAGCTTATCGTTTAAGTTAAAATTGAACTTTAAAAAAATGATATTTAAAATAATTTAAAATTTTATTTAATTTCTATAACAAATTGATTTTAAACAACAATAAATACAAATAACTTCCATTTATATATGATTTTGTTATGAATTGGGGAAGTGGAGGGCGTTTGATTTGACTAGGGAAAGTGGTATGGAATTGGTTTTCTTGGAATGTGTTTCATTTTTATGTGTTTGTAAATTTTAGGATTGGTTTCAGAAGTGAGTTGATTTTTTTGTTAGATAATGTCTCAATGGGACCACATATTTAAAAGTGGTGTTATCATTTATAAGAAGCCTGCAATTTAAGTGATTTAATTTAGTTAATAGGCTTAAGAGTATATGTGTCATGGACCTAATGTGTAGATACTAGTTGAGTAATTTCTATTTCTATGAGGGGCAGAAATAGAAATTAAAACATATTGGTTAAGTTGGTTTTCATAAAAAAAACTGCCACACGGTTGTGTTGTTGAAAAACCTATTTCAACCTTATATTGTTATGGTCCCTAATCCTGCCAATGGTGAAGAATTGCCATTCTTCTTCTATTTCCTCTCAAGGAGAAATTGATAAGGCACTGGTAAAGGAAAGGATTAGAAGACAATAACAAAATCAATAACAAAGGGTTTATTGATAATCACGCTTCCGTTTAACCGTTCATCGATGGATTCGGGTAAGTTTTTGTCTTGATTTCTTGATTATTCACATGGTAGATGATCCAAAGCATAAATTTTCATGTTCTGAAAATAATGTTTACAAGTGGTATCAGAGCGGTTATATCATGTGTATTATTAGAAATTGATATGCTTTATTCATCCAATTTGGTTTCCTGGTTTTCGGATTCTGTTTTTTTTTTTCTTGCTGCAAATTCTGTTTGGTTTCTGGAAATGTAAAATTCTGTTTGGTTTTCGATTTTTTGTTTGATTTGGGTAATTCTGTTTGCTTCGGTTCATCAATAATTGAGGGTTTATTTATATCATGTATATATATATATATATTTATTCTCATGTTGTAACGCCCTCAAAATAATAACATTAAACCCATCAAATAAGACATGCGTTGACGTATAAACAAACCACCTTCTATTATTCATTAGTGTTGCTGCAGATTATATAACATATACGGGGTCACAAATTTAGAAATCTTTAAATTTAATGTAATTTCATACAACGTCTACAGAAATTTAATTTTCTAACATTCTCAATATAAGTCAATTCAAACAAGATGTCACAAAAGTGATCTCTCTTGTCTAGATTGTTTTATATGGAATGTTTTGATGTTCATGTATGTGTATTTCATGCGGGTATTTATTGGTCCAAAGACATGATTAATACTTGGCAGAATTACACACACATTTTGTGGTGATAAACATGTGCCAATTGTCAAGGCAACCTAATGCGAATAATAAATCCATCAAAAGATAGATTTGTTATTTGACATAACTTATTGTCAATGTTTGATCATTACAACAAGAATACCACTTACAGTTAATATCACTACCCAAAGGTTTGGTATTAATGTTGTGCTCGGTATGTTGAGATGTTGTCATTAAATTAATTTATTTAGAGATTATCTGTTTGGTTACTTAATGTGAGCATAATTGTTTATTCATTTTATTTTATTCTCTATTCAGCTTTAATGTCGACTACTTTAATCTCTGCCAACATGAACAATGTTTCAATGTTAAATGGAACAAACTTTAAGGATTAGAAAGAGAACATATTGATTGTTCTCAGCTGCATGGACATAGACTTGGCATTAAGAATGCCAAAACCGAATGATCTCACGGAACAAAGTACTCCTGAGGAAATTTTGTACTTTGAAAAGTGGGATCGTTCTAACAGGCTAAGTCTTATGATCATGAAGCGTGGGATTCCAGAAGTTTTTCGGGGTGCAATAACAGAGGATGTTACCGTTGCCGATGAATTTTTTTCAGACATTCAAAAGCGTTTTGTTGAAAATGATAAGGCTGAAACAAGAACGCTTTTAGCAAGCTTGATTTCAATGAAGTATAAAGGCAAGGGTAATGCTCGCGAGTACATCATGGAAATGTCTCATCTTGCTTCAAAACTTAAGGCACTAAAGCTCGATCTATCTGATGATTTGCTCGTGCATTTAGTTCTCATCTCTCTTCCTACACAATTTAACCAATTTAAGGTCAGTTATAACTGCCAGAAGGAGAAATAGACTCTCAATGCGCTCATTTCATTTTGTGTGCAAGAGGAAGAGAGATTGAAGCAAGAAAGGACTGAAACTGCTCATCTGGCAAGCACCTCCAAGCATACGGGCAAAAGAAAGCATAAGGGAAAGGAAGTTGCTGCTCCTAAGGGTCCGGAACCAAAGAAACAGAAAGTGCAGGATGGTTGTTTCTTTTGTGGCAAGCCCGGACACAGAAAGAAGGATTGTGCCAAATACGTCGCCTGGCGTGTAAAGAAAGGTACATTTCATGTTTTGGTCTGTTTTGAAATAAATTTAGCTTCAGTACCAAGAAACACTTGGTGGGTAGATTCTGGTGCTACTACTCACATATGTGTTTCTATGCAGGGTTGCCTGAACTACCGAAAGCCAACTGATGCTGAAAGATACATCTTTGTGGGTGATGGCAAGTCAATAGAAGTGCAGGCAATAGCGCACTTTAGATTATTGCTGAAAACTGGTTATTATTTGGATTTATTAGACACTTTTGTTGTACCGTCCTTTAGACGGAATTTAATTTTTGTTTTTGTATTGGACAAATTGGGATATTGTTGTTCTTTTGGAAATATAAAGTTTAGTATGTCTCTTAATTCAAATGTTGTTGGTACTGGTTTACTTAATGCGTTTGATAATCTATATTTGCTCGAAACTATTGCATCTTATAATGAAACCTTGCATGTGGAATCACGAGGTACAAAGCGTAAATTAACTAAGGAAAATTCAGCCTAATTATGGCACAAACGCCTAGGTCACATCTCTAAATCTAGAGTTGAGCGCCTTGTGTCTGATGGAATTTTGGGCTCTCTTGATTTTTCAGATTTTGATGTCTGTGCTGAGTGTATCAAGGGAAAACAGACCAAAATGAAGACATATGGTGCCCATAGGACTACAGATATCTTACAATTAATTCATATGGACATTTGTGGACCATTCCCTATGGCGTCTTGGAATGGTCAACAATATTTTATCACATTCATAGACGACTATTCCAGATATGGGTATCTATTTCTTATCCATGATAAATCACAGTCTTTGGACGTATTCAAAAGATTTAAGGCCGAAGTTGAGTTACAACTCAACAAACAGATTAAAAGTGTCAGGTCTGACCGTGGTGGTGAATATTATGGCAGATATGATGGATTAGGTGAACAACGTCCAGGACCGTTTACAAAATACCTGGAGGAATGTGGAATCGTCCCACAATACACCATGCCAGGATCCCCTAGCATGAATGGTGTATCTGAGAGACGAAACCGGACTCTTAAGGATATGGTAAGAAGTATGATCAATCATTCTACTTTACCAGAGTCCCTATGGGGTGAGGCTCTAAAGACAGCAACTTATCTCTTAAATCGGGTGCTAACTAAAGCAGCTGCAAAAACACCTTATGAGCTTTGGGTTGGGCGAAAGCCTAGTCTAAAACACTTGCATGTGTGGGGGTGCCCTACTGAGGCGAGGCCTTATAAACCTCATGAAAGAAAATTGGACTCCAAAACCATCAGCAGCTACTTTATTGGCTATGCCGAACGATCACGGGGTTACAAATTTTATGATCCCACAAATAGGTCAATATTTGAGACGGGAATTGCAACATTTTTTGAGGATGTTGAGTTTGGGGGGAGAAATCTAGTTAGAGACATTGTTTTTGAGGACGAAGTAGGAGTAGTCCCACTTCCTACTACTACTACTTTTGACCAATTACAGGTTCCTATACCTGTCATTGCTCGAGAAGTAACTTCGGATCCTCAACCAGACAATGTTGTTCAAGATAATATAGTTCAATCCCTCATTCAAGATGAGGTAATTGTTCCTGAGGAACAAACTCTACAACCTCAACCTCAAGAACCTGTGCCATTAAGGCGATCCACAAGAGAAAGGAGATTTGCAATTTCGGATGATTATATTGTATATCTCCAGGAACATGAGGTAGAAAATGGAATGTCGAAAAATGATCCAATCAACTTTCGTCGAGCCATGGAAAGTTCCAACTCTCATAAATGGGTAGAAGCCATGAATGAAGAATATAAGTCTATGAAAGACAATAAAGTTTGGGAACTTGTCTCATTACCAGTTGGTGCGAAGCCCGTAAGTTGTAAATGGATATTTAAAACCAAAAGGGATTCAAATGGTAATGTGGAGAGGTATAAGGCACGTTGTAAAAGAAAGAGTGCAGAGTGGACAGATTTCCATAGAGCACATTGGGACAAACTCCATGATAGCGGATCCACTTACGAAGGGACTACCACCCAAGGTCTTTCATGAGCACACTGCTCAGATAAGCCTAGTCTAAAACATTTGCATGTGTGGGGGTGTCCTACTGAGGCGAGGCCTTATAAACCTCATGAACGAAAATTGGACTCTAAAACCATTAGCAGCTACTTTATTGGCTATGCCGAACGATCACG